GTATATTTCCCTGTAATTCACACACATCCTATCTGTGCAAGCCTGCATCTGCTGTCCAAAAGAGATGGAGAGGTGATCTCTGCTCTAGAAGAGAAGCCTGATTTACATAATTATAACAATCCACTTGAGCTGTTATTTGAAAAATGTACAAAACGTTATTGTAGTGTATGTTTCAAAACACATGCTGTACAGAGGCAGTACTTTGAACAGCACTAGTAAGACCGTCCTGGCAGTTTTTAAGCTTAACATTTTCATATCTTGAAATTGATTATACTACCTTTATCTTGCATTAGGTAGGAGGCATTTGTAAAATTGAAGGTAGAAGAAAAGCTCATTTAATAAAACAAAAAGAAATTTTTTTTTTAAGAGCAGGATACCCCTAAGGGGAAAAAGATGATTTGGGAAAGAATGGTAGGGTCAAGGAAGTTTTCATTGTGATAGCCGCAAGAAGAACCTCAAGGGAGGAGGAGATATTTTAGAAGTAGATGGATTTGCAAATATTAAGTACAACGTCTAAATTAGATTTTTTTTAAAAAAACAGATTTCTTCTGTAGAGCACAAAGAACTATATTCAATATCTTGTAGCAACCTATTATGAAAATGAATCTATGTACGTATGTGCGTGACTGGGACACTGTGCTGTACACCAGAAATTGACACATTGTAACTGACTCTACTTCAATTAAAAAAGATAAGAAGTTGATGGTACACTTCTGAAAGCTTATGTTAAGCAAGTTGAGGTTGTATTTCTTCTTTCTATAAAGTTTATATAATTATGGGTTAATTGAAACTATCTCAGAGAACATGAATTCTCAATGAGAGGTATAACCTCCAAGGGGTGAAAATTGGTTCTTAGAGGTGAGCGAAAAACATCTTACTCTTTATTATGTATGAAGCACAGATAATACATACAGTCTCGAAATGGATACTTGGTATATCTCTGGAATTAAATTTTCATGAGAGGGTAAGGGTAAGGGGAATAGGCAAAAACTGTCTAAAAAAAGCTTTTTAAAGGGGGAATAATGAAAATCAGTGAAGAAACACTTTAGTATATTTCTAAGGAGGAAATGGAAATTCGGAGAAATAATGGATTATCTTATAAGTATTTGAAGTTGTACCTGATTTCTGTGAATCATTACTCAAACGTAATAAAAAGACAAAAGTAAATGATGAGGAAAAAATATTCAAAGAAATTGAGCCTTGTCATTATGTTTAGTTACATAAACTATGTCACATTCATGTTTTTATTCCATTAAAAAAATTCAAGATCATTTGTAGTAGCTCTCTTAAAATAAGTTTTTTCAATGATTTTTGAAAGACAGCAGATATTGGAATATTTTTTAAAGATATGTCTATATGCTTTTTAGAAAATACTAGAAGGTCGTAAGTAAATGAGCTTATTTGAGTTTTAGTCGATTTTTAAACTTTATTTATAGAAGAATCAGCACTGTCTTCAAGTTCAGCTTCACAGTCAAATACCACACAATGGCTCCATCGGAAAGACACATCACTCACAACTGGAAAAAAGAGTGATTGTACCATAGCAGCGCGGATCTGCCAGGAATCTGAACATTGTGCTCTTTCGTACAA